CTTTCGTAGGAGAAGAGAATGAATATACTACTTTCAGGTCACGAGCAAAAAGGAAAGGCTTACCATACTGAAAGAGAGAACACACGTCATTGATAAAAAGGAGAAAGAGTAATGGACCAACCACACTTCCTTGTATAACCCCACTGGTTACATTCACAGGTTTAGAGTAGCAAGATCCAAAGCGAACGATTTGGCCACGTTCTTTTAAAAAAGATTTGAGCCAAGATAAAAGGGGATTCTGTATGCCAAATGAAGAGAGTTTTAAAAGAAGAAGTTTGTGTGAGACACTGTCGAAAGCCTTACTAAAATCGAAGTAAAGAATTATCACTGACTGACCAACATCTCTTTTCTGGGTAATTTGATAAAAAAACTACAGGTACGATGTGAAACATGAGTGTTTAGTCATAAACCCGTGTTGGGATGGGCTGATCAGACTAGCCGAAAGTAAAAATGATAATAGCTGTTTGTGAATGATTTTTTCCATGGTTCTTGAGAGCACGGATGACAAATTAATTGGCCTATAGTTAACAATATCACTACGTGATCCTGTTTTGAATCTAGGGCTGATAAGGGATGTTTTCCATGCAGATGGATAGGTCCCATATTCCATGGATAGATTGAAAAGTTTCAAACAAAATAGTGGAAATTCTCTACTTCCATATTTCACAAATGATGAAGGTATCCCGTCAGGTCCACCATCATAAGACTTTTTCAGGGCAGCTATGGCCTGCTTGATGTTGGAGTGTGTAAAATCAATTTTCGACAGATGTCTGGATGTCAGCATTGGAAATGTAATGATGGAGTTTTCAGTTCCGGTTTTGTAGCACTGCGAGAAGTGCTTGCTGAATTGTTCGCATATAGTATTCGGGTCGTTAACAATGCTTCCATTAACTATGAGGAATTTAGTCGTGCCAAGGGAATTTGACTTCACATGAGATTTAAAAAGCCGAAGTATTGATAATTCTGGGCTTTTAATACGTAGGGATTTATTTTCTATATTCATCAAATACTTATGTTTAGATGGAGCATTTCTGTTGATCAATTTAAGTATACTGTGAAGTGCGTACACGTCATTGTGCTCGTAGTAGTGGCATTTTGATTTCCTCAGCTTTCTTTTAAGTTTTAAAAGTAATCTGGCCCCTATTAGCATTATAAGCCACATGGCCAATAACTGGAGCAGTGCAGTCAAGACAATATATCAGGTTGTGGTATTGATTGGAAAGCGCAATGTCAACATTATTTGTGGTAAAATAAAATTCCCATGGTAAATATTGAATGAGAGTTCCAGTCCGTTCCCATGTTTTTTGATCGAAATGTCTGCTTTGGTACATCAATGAAGCTTTAGATTTCAATTGTATGGCGTTTAAAGAGTAAATAATACTCAATACAACTCTATGGTCACTTATAAAAAACTCATGACTGGTATGTACTGAGATAGAGTCTATGTTGATTGTGAACATTAAATCAAGTGTGTTATTCCCACTGGTCGGTTTTCGGACCTGTTGAACCCATCCACAAATTTCTAATGTTTCAACTAGCTTGTTATATCGACCTGGTACCGGAGTCAAGCCCCATGCAATTTTTGGCAGATTAAAATCACCTCCGATGAATTTAAAAGTATGCGGTTAGTGCGAAGCAATGGAAAAGATGTTTGTTAGTAATCTATCAAACTTAGTATCCGCATAAGGTGGTCTATATATGCATCCCACCAGTAAATAATTTTGGGATCCACAGTTTACAGTAACCCAAGTGGAGTCGTCTATAGCATCAAGGGATTTATCCTCAAATTTGCATTCTTGAATGTCTGAACGGACATAGATAATTGTACCACCTCCTATTCCATAACATCTATCGGTTCTAAAGAAAACGTAGTTATCTACATTCAAGGAATGATCGGATATAGATGAATAACAACACGTTTCCGTAGTAAGTACAACGGTTGGATTTACAAGGAATAAGAGTTTTAAGATGAATAATTTTATTGGACAGAGAGCGGGCATTGAACGAAAGAATAAGAAACTCAGAGTTATCATAGTGAGGCAGGTTAGAGTATAAATCGCTATTGGTAGTTCCATGAATACTCGTAGGATTAGCGAAGGTAAAAGTTGTGTTGCGAGGGGAAATAGATTCAACCAATTTGTCATCATGTGAAATATGTTTACCGTTGCCGGCAGGAAAGCCGGCGGAATTACAAAAAAAGCCTTCTCATTGCTATTGGATGCAACATCTGATAAAGGCATAGTGTACATATTGGGAGCCGGACCAAGAAGGCTATCAGGTCTATGTGTGCGGCCAAGTGGCCAATTACAATTCAGATAACTATTTATACCTGACGTGTGGGTAACGTGTTTAGGACGTTTATTTCCAAGGTTTGTGGTTGATTTTGGCTTCTTCATAAGTTGGAGAGGATTGTGTACTGTTAAACATACTTGCGATCGTTTGCGAGGTTCGAATATATCAACGTTAAGTGCGTCGTCAGTTATATGAATGTTATGGTTGATTTCCCTGTTATCCGTTGCACAGTTACTGTAACTGGGTGTTGCACTAACAGGGGTTTGGACTGTGTTATCCCATTCGTCATGAGCACAACTACTTCGGGTTGAGTCTAAGTCAACATTCTTAAGAGGATGGACACCATCTACATCGGGATTACTTTCTTCTGGGCTTTCAACTTTATGAGATTCAGAAGAGTTTTTCGGTGGCGGCATACTTGTAAAGCTAGACGTCCTCTTAGAATCTGACTTAACTTTACGACCATTAGGATTATGATGCGTTTGAGAGTTTGACGCTGGTGGTCTGTAGCTATCTCTTCCTGCTTTTCGCTGGCATGGTGTTTTATCCGGAAGAGTCTTAATATCCTTGAAAATCTGTTTCTGTCTCAATGAATTGGAGGAACTTAAAAATTCACTGGCTTCTACAGATGAGTTGAATTTGAACAATATCGGTGAGTGCATACAAGGATGACTTCTTTTTAACCTTGTGTATACACATGGTACGTGTGTCATATTGCTGGCTCTAAGCAGACTAGATTTGATATTTTTAAGAGCATGTGTATCCGGTATATTAAACACAATTGCATTGCTAGATCGTCTTATTCTTTCAAATACCTATGATGCAACACGATCTAGGAAAATATTTATGTCATTCATTTGATCTGGAGTCTTTGTGAGGTTGGGGTTGATGAGATATTTAAGCGGATTGAGAATGTTCATGTCTACTTGCAACTTTTTTATAGCATCCATATGGTTGCAGTTGCGATTATCATCACTGTTTACCATCAGAGTTTTCAACATGTCTGGAATGGAGACAACTGGTAAAAGCTTGTCTGCTTCCAGATGAACGGAGTGGCTCGTCTCGTTAAAACTGTCGGAAATTGTGTCAGTAGTGGTGTTAAATTGTGTCGTTTTCCTACGTTTGGCTGGACGCCTAGAAGCAGGGGTCTTCATTTTCTTTTGTAGCATGATAAGAAAGTGACGTATAGCAAGTGGATTGAACAGAATGTTGGAAATAGAAAGGGATAGAAAAAAAATCAATTCCGAGGGCTTAAGTTAGTCTAAAAATCAAAATTTGTGTTTCAACCAAGAGTGAATGTATCGTGAGGATTAGTGGTGTCAAAAACAAAAGATGACAATGGCAGGAAGATAGTAGTGGAGGCAAAATAGAATATAAAGGAGCAAGTTGTATAAATTTTAACATATATATGACACGAAAGATAGTCTTATATAGTAAAGTAATTTAGAAATGTCGATAATTAGTATCAAACAATCAAAGTGAGTACGGTATGTGATACATACATAAACTGAAAGTCCGTATTAGAAGAAAAAAAAGGGAGGTGCAGAGATAAGTAGTTTAAAAGATCATTACCGTCTAAGATTATTAGGCTGCTTCATGAACAAATATATGAAACAGCTTTTTGGAAAAAAAATACTGTCAAAAAAACTATGACAGACTCACCGAATTGGACAGATAATTTCGGAAATTAAATGATTTATAGTACCCAAATACGATTTAAATGATAGTTCATAAAATAGTGAATACAGTCCTTTAACATACACGGTTATATACATTTCTTGATATTAGGTAGAGGTTTGAATAGATCGTGTAGGTACATAAAGTACGTGGGTTAAAGCATCCAAATACGATATAACCATATATTCCTTAAGAAACAGAATACAGATATGAAATGCAAATCTTCGTCAAATATGTTTATATATAGTTTCAAAATGAAAGAGCATAGTCTGATGAAATTCCACTCTGGAATATTGTAGTCTACATATTCAGGATCCGTGTTTCCTGAGACATTTTGCACAATGGTATTTCTCTCGAGATTCACTAAGTGGTTTTCTAATGAGATTGAGCTCAGAACATGGTATATTATATAGTATTCTTACGTCATCCTGTGAATTCAGCAAGCGACTGGTCAGCAGAACATCGTTTATTAAACCAGTCGTGTTCTCGTGATAAACGTGAGTCACTACAACATCAGCAGTGTTGGTGAAGAATATACGAAGGAGTTATGAATGATTTTGGTGTTTGAAATCCTTCCCATGGGTAAGCTGTGTAACCACCAGTGGCTTATTTTGAGTGATATACTCTTGTTCCGAAAAGGAATTTTCTCATAGCCCGTAAATATTTAACTACTGTATTTTTTTCATGTACTACGCTCACATGAACTTTTCTGAATGACCAGATTGTTCGGTTCTCAGCCAATAAAACTACATCCTCTGTTTTTTAGGGTTATATTTATTTTTTAAACAGCCATAAAAATGATTAAATCGACATGTTATTAGACGCCTCTCTTCATTAACGGACTAATTGACATCAGCTCCCGAAAGCATCCAATAACTAGAAAAATTAATTTCGATTAAGTTAATAACTGTTTGCTAGTGTGAATGGTACATTTTTGTTCACAAAGAGTCTTTGTTAAATCGCTTCGATTACTAAAGAATGGTTTTATCAAGTTGCGTAGATTTTCATTCTGCCTATTACGAATAAAACGAGAAAAACAATGTTGTTCTATTTTTTTGATATAATTCCTTAGATGGGAAAAAGGTTTTTCGAAATAGGTTGCAATACTCATTATTCCATCGATATGTATTGTTGCGCGTATTATGGTATTGGCGCTGCACCCAATAAATTAATGTCGGCGCGACTCCACCTCGCTTAGGATTTTTAGTTCATTTCCTTAACCTTCTAATGGCTCTTTCAGGGTCGAAGGAGTTCGTCGATATGCTGCTAGCTCGGGAATTTACAAGGTACTTAGTTTCCTATCTTAATATGTAGTAATAGTGCTGATGATCAGGTACTTATTATGAATGGTTGTGATGTTAGTGGACATAGTTTTAAAGAGAATGGTTTCGCAAAACCCGTTTTGGTACGATCAAAAGACGGTCTAAGAATTAAGGTCCCGCTAGACTCATTCTCTCATACAGATTTAACCAGGTTTATAGGTACTGGAAGTCCATAAAAGTTATCGGTTTTAGATCCTAGTATTCAGGTTGATGTCATCGATGTTCGTCAGCAAGTCGAGATACAAATGACGCTCCAAGAACTGGTTGACCACTTTTCCTCACCTCGTCGACAGGTATTGTTAAACATGCTGAGTCTGGAGTTTTCAAGAACCAGGTAACATATGTTGTCTTTACATTAAAAGTAGCCTGGCAAAGTTTGTACATCCTCCGCATGTCGTTTCGGAACTTAGTCTTGTCACAACCTGTTGGCCGGAAGATGACCCTAATGACCTTAAAGATGTCGAATTTATCGGCGAGACTGCACCAACTGTCCAGAAATACTGTCTTTTAAGTATGAAAGGCAGTTATACTGACTTCCATATAGATTTCGGTGGATCATCTGTCTGGTACCATGTTATGTGGGTAGGTTTTTCTATTCAGAGTGAGGTCTATGAGCATAGGGTGAAAAAGTGTTTTACTTGATGCCGCCTACACCCGAATTCGTTTCTGCTTATTGGCGATGGTGTATGAGCAGCGATCATAGGGCGATATTCTTCCCAGACTTTGTTGCTAGTCTTCGGGAGAAAGGTAAGCATTCGTCTGTGCATTGTGAAACATAGCTCCGAATTACTTTTCTAGAATCGACTAGTAACGTAAAAAGACCCACAGTTTACTGCCTTCACATTTTACCCGGCCAAACAATCTTCTTGCCATCTGGTTGGATCCACGCTGTTTACACGCCTTCTGACTGTCTAGTTTTTGGAGGAAATTTCCTGAGCGGATTGCATGTATCTATGCAGCTCAGGTAGGTTACTGAAATATATTTAAATGATCTTATTACTTGCTTCATATTTTAACTGTGATTAATTATTGTTTCATAAAAGTTCAGATGGTTATATTTTAGGACGTTAACTATTCACTTCGGTTTTAAAATAATAAAATGGGATTTAGTGACGTAATTCTGAACTTGTTATTGGTCAGCATTGATTATTGTACGGTCCCAATGCTGGATATCCATGCCGATATGTTGTCTGGGATTCTGCGCAAAAAATTAGGATTATACGTGCTAGACAAGTGTCCCACCTCATGTGGCATTGTCTAATGTATGGTTCTGTTTAGATTTTATTTTAAAAGGTAACGAGTTTATAAAGTCAATTAGTTAACATTTTCTGGGGATTTATAAACTTCGTGAGTTATGGAAAAATTTTGACTTGTTTTTACACGCTATTCATGAAACAAGTACACATTTGACTACTGTGATCTAAATCACGGTGTCAGCAAAGTATTTCGCAGCTCCCCGTATCGATGCAGTGTAGCCGAGGTCAGGTCTCAATAAAAATTCAGAATCAATTTTGTTTTTTGACAGAGATTAACTCGATTTAAGTCCAAGACAAATGTAATCCCTGTGTTCGATTTTCCTTTAAATGATTGGTTTACTAATCTTTGAAATATATCACAGCTACCCAATGTCTCAACTTTCCATATATGTGGATATACAGAGTTAGGTTTAACAAGAACAACACTATTTTGTCTTGCCGATTTAGTAAGGTAAGGTAAGGTTAGTTTTCAGTTTATCCAACTTCATAGCAATATCCTAGTTTCTTGTATGCGATGGATATTAACCAGCCATAGTGAAAAACCGTTTTGTCCTGTGGCTAGATTTTATACTGTTCAAAAACTGTTAATGACAAGAGGTGAGTAACAGCAATCATCCCGACTTTTCGACGAATTACTTAATCATTTTGCTGCTCTGCCCAACTCGTGGTCACGTCATATTATGTCTTGATTCATAGTAAGTTTGGTCGATTTTAGCAGGGCTTGTTCGTCATATTTGAGTTCCAACTACTTTGTAAGAGATCTGAACGGATGTCAATCAACGCATTTTTTTAAAGCGCTTATTGAATTGTCTAGACAAATATCATACTAAAAACCGTTGCGTGATATTCATCTTTGAGATGAACACCTAGTCATTTTGTTGCTTCACTGAAAACATAAGTCTGTATTTACGGGTTGAGATTTTATGTGGTACATTTAGTTGTAGACAGTCATTGACAGCCGATGACATAGTTCTATTTGGTGATGACGCTGACAAAATACAATCTTCTGACCACTCTAAGGAACAAAGCAGGCATGTTCGGAATGCGATTCTCCCTTTCGAAATGCAAAATGTTGCTTAAGGATTGGGTGGCATCGACACCCGAACTAATGATAGGGAGTGAAGTAGTTGAGCGTGTCGAACGATTCACTTGTCTTGGAAGTCTCATCAGCCCTTGTAGTCTGGTGTGTTACGAAATCTCAGCACGGATACAGAAGACTCAACTAGCTTGCGTCATTTATGGCGTAGGTGAGATATCCATCTACCAACCAAAGGATGGGTTTATTACACAGCAGTTCGTTCTGTTCTACTTTATGGCATTGAAACATGACCGGTAAGAGTAGAGGATATCCGTAGGTTACTAGTATTTGGTCATAGGTGCCTTCGCAATATTGCCCGTATATCCTGGGACCATCGATTAAGTAACGCAGTTGTTAGGAAACGGGTACTAGGTAAGGATGGCAAATCAATTGATGAGGCAGTGAAACTTCATCAGTTGGGATGGCTGGGACACGTGTTACGTATGCCTAACCATCGACTACCCCGACGTGCCATGTTTCATGGTGTAGAAGTGGGATGGAAGAAAACTAGACGCGGCCAAACCAAAACATGGCACAAATCCATGAAGTTGCTGACAAGTGAACTGAGCCATGTTGGTAGGTGTAGACTACCTGGTTGGGATCCGCGAGACAATAGCAACCGATAGTTAGAGACCTTGAATGACATGGCTCAAAATCGTTTGCAATGGCGCAGGTGCATCCACTCTTTGTGTTCTCCCAAATTCGAATCTTCTGAATTCTTCATGTCCCTTTTTTCCTCTTCCCAAATTTATTTCACTGGACTATACTTTTTGAATGACATCTTCAAACCCTAATCTTTCCGATTACTGCTTATACTCTTACTACCTTTACCACTACGGGATTTGAATTGACAATTGTATTTCTGTGCTAATGTGGCATAGCAACTCGAACTGATGTACGTACGTACGAAGTTCTACGTTTTTGCCTGACTTTAAACAGCCACTGTATTCTGCGGGTTAAGCCATGGAAATTGTCTTACCTCCATGACGTATAGATTGTGGTAACACAATTAATTTACAACCAACCATGCTAGAGTTTGGCTAGCAGAGCTTACTGTTTCATTTGATTTAAGTTGTAAGTATTAAAAGTCAAACAGCTTTTGAAGCACTGTTGTAACGAGTCAAGAAAACTAGTTGGAAATGAAAATTATACAGCCTCTGCCCGCGCGCATACAGCCTCTGCCAGAGAAGTCCTACTCACTGCCTTCTCGTGGCGGGGGTGTTGTTTACGAAAATGAGAGGACGAAAAGCGAATGTCCGGCGCTTTAACCGGATTCCAAACCAATGGTGCATATGGGCACCAGTATCCTGCGGGAACAAATGGCGTATGAACCAATCGTCGGTCACCGGCTACCATGGGACTGCATCTCCTTACGATGCTCCACTGCCTTGTGGGTTAGACCTTTAGGTCAAAGGCTCGGGGTGTGGCCCCCTAAGAACACCACCTGCTTCGGTCTGGGCACCCGGGCAGTAACGCAGCCCACACGCAATTAATGAACTGAAATTGTGTGGCGCATATATGTTTTGCGCACTCCTGGTTGAAACGAACAGTTATTGAGAATTGGAAAGAAATAGTCTGAAGGACGTAAATAGATTACGAGTGACCCATTATATACAGTTGGTTCTAATATCATTTGGTTACTAAATAACCTTTTATTCTAATTCTTTAGCTTAGTTTGTGTTGTTATTACTGTAGAATTTATCGCATGGAACAAAAATGTAAAACTCCAATGAAATTTCTGTTCCCTAATTTTGAGAAGGTTCACTGGTTTTATAGCCAATGTCTCCTGGACAGACTAACTAGTAAGTATCTCAGTCAATATATTTCAGCGATATAGTTTATTCGACTATTGTGCTACATATTTCATACTCTCTAACAACACGAAATTTTTAAATTTTTCACTATTATTGTAGACAACTTAACTGATGGCGAAAATCCCGTTATTTTCGATGTAGAGGCGGCTGAATGCTTGGCTAAAGTTCTTCCTTTGTGGTATTCTAAAAGACATATGGTAACTGAATATTTATAACAAACTACATTCCTCATTTAAGATGATGTTACTGCTCCTTTTTATTTATTCTCCACAGATTTCGGATTGTTAAATATCACCGAATGATCATCATGAAGGGTTTGAAATCTTGCCTGCTAGTTGTTAGTACATAATGGAGAAATTTTGTCAAGGAAAATATATAAACATCTGTGCAGCTAGTTGATTTGCTAATGTTCTAATCAACGCATATCAACCAATAGTAGGAAATTTGTTGTGACTTTATGGCCTGCTGGTTATCACTTAATCTGTTCGCCAATAAAAATACGACTTATTTGCTCTTATACTGTACTAAACCAGTGACGTCCGACTGGTATGATCAGCCTGGCGTCCTATTGGCCCGTTGCCCGCCTAGCCCGTCCAGCTGAGTCCAAAATGCTAATAACAGCCTCCACTATGCGAATCACTTATTTCACACATACTAGGTTTATATATCAACCAAATAGACCGCAACGCACCATAAAATATAAAATAACTCTCGTACAAAATATAGCCCAAGGTGGCTGTAAGCGTGGGAGACAGTAATTAATAAACTGAGTATAACATAAGAACAGTAAATTGTACGATAATAATCTATAGGTCAAAATGAAGCTTATAATAACGGGAATATAGATACATACAATCTAGTTACTGAATAGTTATACCATAAGAATATATAAATAATATTAGTCCATTAATAGGTCTCAGCAGTTACTTGTAATCTAATCCTCACTAGGATATAACAAAATTCTTGAGTATTATATTCTACCCTCGTGTCTTCTCTAACTTCTTGGAGATATAATCAGGGTTTTCTTAATACATAGTTATCTGAAATCTTTTAAACTTAATTTATTTTAGTTATGTGACAATTTTCCCTTCCGTTGAAAGAGTCATCCCTTAAGAGGTCTAAACAACTTTCCATTTAAATGGTAGTAAGTGTCGAATTTTGATACTGCTTTTGAAATCATATTGTCTCACCCGAGAAACTGTGGTCTTCACAAATAAATATTTATTGAAACGGTTATGAACTGTTAAATACAAAGTTGTAAATACAACTGTTGACACTTGTTATGATAAAACTATTTTGTGTCAAAACTGCAGATTTGTAATTATCGGTGTTTTTTCTCAAGAAATCGCCAGTTTAAGCACCAATTGTTGTATAAATAAGGACATTCAGTTTTTCAGTCGTATCAGTGACTGCATACTTCATTGTTGGTGTTCATAGGTTAACCATAACTTATGATTTGGAAGTTTAAATGGATCCGTTATCTACTTTTCTGGATCTCGGACTTATCAATACCCTATAATTTTTCTTCTACTTCATTGTTTTTAACAATGTTTTGTGTATTTTTTACCCTATTATTTCCCTTACTGTGTTCTGTCGTGAATTGTAGCAGTTTAAAAAAGTGCACAAATTTATTATCCAGGTGATTTATCATATTTGTTTAGAGTAGTATGGCGATAGTATATAAGTGTTGGTTATTTCACTTGTACGTGTTTTCCTGACTTTTCTTTAGTTTACCGTTTTCATTGAGAATCATCTTATCTTCCCGGTTTTTATTTATTTTAAGCTCCCGCCAGAAGAAAGAGATTACTTTCTTCCGAATCAAAGTCAGTTAGACATGTTATGTCCAAGTCTCATTGAAAGACTGTCTGAGGTCGTAAATTCAATAGTATCACATTCAACGAAAAACTCAGGTTTTTTAGCAGATTATTCCAAATCAGAGATATTTTCAAAGCATTCCAAGTGAGTTGTTACTCCTTAGTTTCTACTTCACAAATCAGTTTATGCTTTAAATTTTCACCATTTTTCATTAAAATAATTGGGTGGACATGTAAGATCTCTCTAATTTCATTGGCCTCTCTGTGTGATGATTACATTGTTTACCGGTAAGCCTCGAAATATCACCACTCCAGCTTTCGGTTTGAATTAAAAATTTAGATAACAGTAGTAGTTCAGGGTTATAAAAATTAATCATTACAAATCACATAATTTAAAAAGTCAAGAACCATCATTCATTTTTTATTTTCATCCTAGAATGTACTACTTTCTAATACAGGTTACTTACTTACTTACTTACTTACTTACTTACTTACTTACTTACTTACTTACTTACTTACTTACTTACTTACTTACTTACTTACTTACTTACTTACTTACTTACTTACTTACTTACTTACTTACTTACTTACTTACTTACTTACTTACTTACTTACTTACTTACTTACTTACTTACTTACTTACTTACTTACTTACTTACTTACTTACTTACTTACTTACTTACTTACTTACTTACTTACTTACTTACTTACTTACTTACTTACTTACTTACTTACTTACTTACTTACTTACTTACTTACTTACTTACTTACTTACTTACTTACTTACTTACTTACTTACTTACTTACTTACTTACTTACTTACTTACTTACTTACTTACTTACTTACTTACTTACTTACTTACTTACTTACTTACTTACTTACTTACTTACTTACTTACTTACTTACTTACTTACTTACTTACTTACTTACTTACTTACTTACTTACTTACTTACTTACTTACTTACTTACTTACTTACTTACTTACTTACTTACTTACTTACTTACTTACTTACTTACTTACTTACTTACTTACTTACTTACTTACTTACTTACTTACTTACTTACTTACTTACTTACTTACTTACTTACTTACTTACTTACTTACTTACTTACTTACTTACTTACTTACTTACTTACTTACTTACTTACTTACTTACTTACTTACTTACTTACTTACTTACTTACTTACTTACTTACTTACTTACTTACTTACTTACTTACTTACTTACTTACTTACTTACTTACTTACTTACTTACTTACTTACTTACTTACTTACTTACTTACTTACTTACTTACTTACTTACTTACTTACTTACTTACTTACTTACTTACTTACTTACTTACTTACTTACTTACTTACTTACTTACTTACTTACTTACTTACTTACTTACTTACTTACTTACTTACTTACTTACTTACTTACTTACTTACTTACTTACTTACTTACTTACTTACTTACTTACTTACTTACTTACTTACTTACTTACTTACTTACTTACTTACTTACTTACTTACTTACTTACTTACTTACTTACTTACTTACTTACTTACTTACTTACTTACTTACTTACTTACTTACTTACTTACTTACTTACTTACTTACTTACTTACGCCTGTTACTCCCAATGGAGCATAGGCCGCTGACCAGCATTCTACAACCCACTCTGTCCTGGGCCTTCTTTTCTAGTTTCATCTAATTCTTGTTCATTTTTCTCATGTCTATTTCCATTTCTCGGCGTAATATTTTCTTTGGTCTTCCTTCTAATACAAGTAGTATGAAAATAATAAGCCCAACAAAGTGATTTGATTTATATTCTTTGTAGTCCACTGAAATCAATTACATACTTCATAGTAGATTTACTTCATATAATTGATATTATCCCCCAATACCGCATTTAAGATTAACCATATAATATATCCGCGATTCAAACAGAAATCTCACTATTAACATAAACTTTTCTTAGCAATTTTCCTCTTCTAAATAATTGGATAAGTTTCCGTCAGACTGATACTCCCTAACTTTATCATATTTGTAGATTTGAATATATCATATAACTTCTCTCCCATGTTTTCGGTTATAGATCTAATGGACGAGCAATTGAAAGCTGCTCAAATGCTAAAAGTATAGAATGTTTGAACCGAGAGTTAGGTAAGGAAACTAAATGGGAACTTAAAGATAGACATATTGGAGGTCTAGGCTGGATGCCAAATAGACAAACTTATTCCAAAAATTTACGTGAACCAAAGAGCTTGATAAAAGGAAATGAGAACGAAAAACATGTGATTACTGATGATGTAGATATCCTTGAAGCACTACCGGGTTTGGAAAAAAGTCGATTAATCGGAGACCATTGTATGTATGAATGATTATTTATGTATGCTTAATATTATTCTTTCTTTCATTGTATAACTGATATTAACTGATTAATTTTCAGCTGCGTATTATTTATATTAGTAAAAAGACAACCGATGGATTAGAGATTTCAAATTTCTTTTATAGATTGCGTTGGTTATGTCCTATCACCAGTTTTATCGTCTTTGATATAATGATTATCCTCGGAATTTTACCTGGTTTTCAGTTAGTCATAATTAACGTAGAGCCCACCGCAAACATGCATTACCCCAATTTGTCATCCCACAGTACAACGAGGAAAATTTCACAAGATATGTAGCAAGGACACTAAATAATGTAGTAGAAATGATGAGATATACCAAATAGTGAAGATGGTTCTAAAAGACAGCAAGGTATGTCTGGATGAGTACTAGAACTCAACACCTGAATGAAGGTAAAAAGTGGATCCATCTACTTCACTGGGATCAATTCTGAACCATGTCACCCAATGTCTTTTACTACGGATCGTAGTTATCACTCTGACAACAGCCAGGCAGTCTAGACCTACCAATACTGTTTAGACCAATAATCAATGACTTCATGGACTGATGCCAAGTCTTAGTTTGGCTTCTCCCAGCTGTTCTCCAACCTACTTCTACAACAGCTATTGACGTTCAACGAGACAGGTGAAGTTTGGGATACTGCTACGTTTGGAGAGATTACAATATCGCCTAAAACATGCGAACGGAACGCAAGTCAGCAATACTTCAACAGAACAAGCTATGCTATTCCACTGTACCCTCACCCTGCTAACTAGAGATGGAAGACCAGATTCAGTCGAATGAAATGCATATTACCCGGGCAGTCGGAAGCACGAGCGAACAAACACACAACTCATGCACATATATACAGTACAAAAGTATTCTTGGAAAACGTCACAAAATAGCTTACTAAAAGAGAAAACGAACCATTTAAGGTCCTTCCATGTGGGAAATGCTGAAGAGGAAATTAGGAAGACACGTCGGGGGTGGTTAGGACATACCTTTCAGAAACCATTAATTGCATCATGAGGCAAGCCCTAACTTCGAATCCTGAAAAGAAAAGGAAAAGAGGAAGGCCGAAGAACACACCACGTTGGGAATTGGAAGCACGCATGAAAAGGATGAATAGCAACTGGAAAGGATTGTCCAGGACAGAGTTGAATGGAGAATGCTGATGGGCGGCCTATGCTCCTCCACGAGGGGTAACACTTGCAAGTAATGTGGGAAATACAGGTAAAGTAGGTGATTTTGATGCGAAAATGAGAAATTCAAATTCCCAAAATAAAATTGTGAAAATGAGACGTCAACCGAATGGTTCCTGGCGATCTAGCTTCCCCAATTGATACGTATTACTTTTCTCAATCACTTCAGTTGATAAAGATTTATTAACTCATCAGCCAATTTAGCATCTTTACCCAGTACTCTTTGTTTAATCTCAACATCTTCCACTAGATTGTCCCAGCACACACAAGCGCTACTTCGAAGACAGCCATCACCAAATACTTTCAGCATACGGACATCTCATGCTTTCCTAGGCTACGTTTCACAGTCAGAGTAGTAGAGATCAAACTGATGTGGAGCATATTCGTTTTTTAGTTGGGAGACGGACACCTCACCTAAATGACAAGTGACTCAAGTTGGAAAATGTTAGCCGGGCTTTCTGAATCCGTTCCGGAATTTCGTCAGGTGTCAACTCACTTGAGCTGATCAGACTTCCAAGAAAAGTGGAGTGGTCAGCGCACTCAACCACTTCACTTCTTATGACCAATCTAGACAATGGGGGAGAGAAATGCATCCCTAATATACATGCTTTGTTACCGAAGGTGATCAAAAAAGTTCTAATTTCTTCAACATTTTCACTAAACAGGGCCATATCATCTATACACGCCGTGCTATTAAGTTGGTTTTCAGGAAGCATACCAATCCCTAAAAAGTCAAATGAAGAAAGAGCGATTTTTAATGAAGAGATTTGTGATGAAACCAAATAAAAAGTAGGGTAGTAAACAACCTTGACAAACACTGATAATTGTTATTCATAATCTCTGGGATTATCATTAATGTTCAGGTAGAGAGCCTTCACAAAGTTAATGTACTTCGCTAGTGTACCTCTCAATGGCAAACACTGCCACAAAGTTTCTTAGTTAACTGAGTCGAATGGGACCTTAGTGTTAAAATTAAGCATAAAGAGGGATAATGGATGACACTGACGAACTTATTCCCATCATTGTGTTTATTCTGTGATGAAAAGGTAAAGAATACTAGATAACTAAATAGCTAATTAAAATTGTCTGTATTCTACATTCGTTACCTTATTTTTAAACATCTCGAGTCGAGAAAAGGTGAAAATCAAAACGTGAACCAATATAACTAATATTGTTGACAAAATGTGAAGGTGGTTTTCATATTTCAAACGTTCCTAACTTGTACAGAAATGAAAGAAAACATGATTTCAACCTTGTACATAAAGTCTTGTTGCTGCTGAATTGTTCCCCAGGTACTGCTTCAGACCTTCTGTCTTAAATCAGGAAGATCATGTCATATGGGTATTGTTTAATCACTTATAAATTTGTAGGCTATGATGAAACTATAATTCCCGGGTTTCAGTATTTAACATTTCAATATCGTATTACAATGATAAATTCCTTATCGACTTACATTTGACCTGTCAAGTAGTATCTCCATTTATTATTCACAAAATATGGTATTGTAGTGAACGAGAACACGAATGAGGACAATCGAATGTATTTGAACACAAAATTACAGAACATCTTAGTAAAATCTGAGAACCATATAGTAAATACTTAATTTGCAAAATATCAATCAATCGTCTCACACTTCATTGTTCTTTCGTTTCCACACTAATTATTCTTTGTTCTCGTTCTGTTTTCTTTGATCTTAACTTTCTGCCGCCAGACATATTACTTTCTACTGATAATACATACTACTTATATCTATCGACATCAGTAGCACACCACAGTATATCTGTTTATTCATTTACTAAAGTGCTTGTAATTATTAAGTTTAACTGAAGGTTATACAGAATTTGTTTTACATGTAAGATAAGGTTTTGTTGTCAGTTTCTTATTAAATGTTACTTATCATAATTCCTAATTATGGTGTTGATATAATTTACCACATATCACATTTATAAAATTAAGATATGGAAACATTTTATCGATAATTTAAATCATTCAAATACAAATTAAGGAACAAGACGGATCAAACACTCTTTGATCTATTTATAAAACTATTTGACCTTAACTACTCTTTATGCTAATAAAAACTAAATTCATGAGAGATACTCGGTGTATCTGTTGTTTAAATTAGCAAGAGTGGGATTAAAGTATCTCCATAATCTGTTTTATGAGTTCAAGTGTAACGTTCACACTACAAATAGTGATGCCTTCTCATTTTATTTTTTTCGGAGTGAGATGGATAAAAGGTGAATGTTTATAACAGATAATTAAATTGATTGTAGTAGATATTCAGCCTTTCGCTCTATTTTCCGGTGGTTTTATGAATGATTGAGACTTGTAATAGCATCATGTTTGTAATTCGGAACTAATCTTTCTATGTAACTTTGATTGAAATGATATTTTCTTCACCGTCTACTCATAATAATATTTTTTAAACAGATTATTTGACATTAAGTGACTCAGAAGGTGATGATGGCGACAACGTTAGGATGAAATCAAAAGCCGAATGTTCGCTAACAAAAAAACAGAAGGGAATATCTACTCTACACCAAGCAAGTAGGAAGAGAAAAACTAAGAATAATGATGATGATCCAACTTGGAGTATGCCTAGTAGGTTGAATATTTGTTTTTGCTATTTAAAAAATTTTCACTGGGTAATTTATTCGCCTCCGTGTGAACATTTGTCAGTATATGAGCAAATAGTTTGACAAAAATTGGGCTCCTAGTGTATAGAGGACATTCTATGTAAAAACTGTATTAAAATGATCTCATCGATTGAAATTTTAATAATTCGACTATTCCAATTAAAGAAGTTCAAACCAGAGTACCAGATGGAGCGTTAGAGTGATCTAAATTTCGATTGTTGAGATCATTCAAATATAATTGTTTCATTTAACGCTATTCGCCTTTAGTTTGAAATTGCGCAATATTACTTATCTTCAACTTTCAAAAGTCTGTCTTCATTTCTTGATGCGGACGTTCTACCATTGATCACTGGCTGTCATTCAAACAATATTAATGTTACAAATTGAAATTCTTGATACAATTGAGATTGTTTAGTTCCATTATTTTTAGGGATTAACATAACATTCAAGTAATTTTTACTGCATACTAATTGTGATTATTTATGAGCATTCGTTTTTGATCCTAGACACTTTTTAGTCATACAAGCCATAATTTTTCGCAAGAACTTAGTGTATTTTCTTTGCGGAACGAGTTATTTTCATATACAGAAAATATTTCTGTAAGTTCAATTATATTCAAGTAGGTTGGTTGGTATTTTTCCTGAAATCTGCCACAACTCATGCATTCACTAGTTGATTTTGACGTAATTGATATACCATGCAATTGTTTCGCTTTACAAATGTAAACAGCAAATTACGTCATTCTCGCTTTGTTGAAGTACTTAATATAAGATATTTTCCCAGTAGAAATCAAATACAAGGAAACATGTATCAATCCAAAAAAATTCGTTCATACTCCATAAGTTCTTATCGTTTCACTCTTATCTGTATATAATAGCTTTAGCAGTTAAGGCGTATTGTTGATGAATTTTAACCGTTATAGTAAAGGAATTTATCAGTCTAGAACTACATCATTAATATGTTAACTTGTATTTATAATTAATTCATACTGGCTACTCTCATCAACATTTACTAATAAGGTTAATAAATTTCAATTAGTATAAGTTTCCATCACTATCATAATTCTTTCCGAAACAAGAAAATCAGAAAAGATTAAAAACTTAATTGTTCACTTAAATAGTATTAGAAGGCTATCTATTCGTAAAAAACAGGGGAGTGATTACTAGTGAATAACTCCTTCTGATCCCAAAGTGTGTCAGTTAACGTACCTGACCATCAGTTTATGCTTGCCTATGTATATTGTTTTAGTTTGGGCATTTCAATGCAGTGTTGACTAGATTTACAGTCCAAACCTTTTCACTGATTTAGCAATCTTCCCAGTCTACTATTTCAGTTGATAGAATTCATCAGGTTTTTTAATTGTCGGATTTTTTAAAATATATCCTAATATACTCAGTTGTCATTTACTTACATCCTCCAATTGAACACTGAAATTACTGTTAGCTTAGTTCCATCAGTTTTTGTAAGTATTATGAAGAACGCTCAAGAGGTTTAAGTGTTCTCAGAAGATGTTATGGTTTATATTATCAAAAAACTGTGAGTTACTGTATCTCAATAGCTAAGTGCATCTACGATCACCAGAATATACGTTGTTGTTTTTCTTCCTGTTACATTTGAAGATTTTCTGTAATGTATTTATGCATATATATAGAATGACATCTGGTTGTGGTACAAGTTAATCGGGCTTTAATATAATCTCATTCGACCTACAGGCTTTAAAGTAAGAATCTTTCCATAAAACTAACAGTATTTAGTATCCCTTTCACATAGGTGTAGAAATAAATTCTCATCTATCTACCCTTATCATGTAAGTACTTAGTCAGTCTTCAAGCACAATAGGAACGGAAATATAGTTATGAGCACATATTCTATTCATCTTACTCCTATTTTCAATAGTCTTTTAAATTGTAAAAAATGTCTTGTCTATTCTGAAAATAATATGTTTCTAGTTTAACATCAGCAACTGGTCGTACATTTATCTTTTTCTACATTATTTTACTTTACAGGTCCTACGCGTCGCAGGTTTGGTACAACTGAATGGAAGTCAAAGAGTTCAAGACTTGTTGTTTCTAATTTAAAAAGAGATAAAAAGTCATTGGTAAATGCTTCTAGTGTTTAACTAATATAATTTTTGACTATTCAACGCGATTTCCTATCCACAAATGATACTGTTGGGACATATTTAAACCAGTCTAGATCATGTAATAATTAATTTGTTAGTAAATATCCAAGCTCTATTTCCTGTTGTTATCATTGTTTGGTTTTATAAACACTAAGTATGACAAGAGCAATATAAGCTATAAATTTATTAAACTAGTCAAGGTATTGAGGTTATCTAACACTCGACCCACCTAACTAGTATTTTTAGCTTGATGAACTTGACAACTTGAGGTAACCCATTCAGAGTTCTTTATTCTTTCCAATTCCTTTTCACCCTTTTTTAGAACATGATGAGTCAATGATTACAACTGACCACATTCAGGCGGTTACTCCGTGTTATGTTGTTGAGATGTAGCCTATTCACTGTTGATGTTTTTTCAATATTCTTCTTCACTTGTTTTAGCCTGTTTTTGAGAACTTATCACTAAATCCTCTATTGTCGTGGCTACTATCGAACTGCTTATTCTAATAAGTTTAAACAGTTAAGAATCGTCCATTACAGTTTCTCATGCATTAGAGTGGCTACACAATTCACATGAACAGTCACAAGGAAACCCCTGTTATATTCTCCAGAAACCCGTCAACTCAGTCCCCAACAAATAAAAAATAGCGAACGAATTTTTTCAAAACCTCTACAGGCGATAACAGTACAAAATACGTTGATACTTATAAAGAAATCAGAAGTGTACTTGAGAACTATTCAATAAGAGCACGAGTTGAAAAACACCAGCTTCAATTCAATAGTACACATGCGCCCTAGGATCCTAAAGAAGCAAATTGCTTATGAACCTGCTTTTTCTTTTCACTACCATGATACTACACATCCCTTCATTGCTCTATCTTTTTATGGGTTAGTCCTTTACGTTGAAAGGTTTAGGGAATGGTCGTATCTCATAATCAGTATCATAGTCTGCATAACATTAGGAATAAAAAAATATCTTTTTCAAAAAGTTTTGAACAAGAAAGAACAACTAAACTATTCTGTAGAATATATTCTTGTATTTTTAATCCGAAGTCTCATGTGAATTTCTAATGGTATCTGAATTAACATAGTATGTTTGATCAATAACATTTTATTTCTCAAGTTACTTATCTTCACTGTGGCTAATCGTAGCATGATATGGTTATATACATTAATGTTTATTATTTACTAAGTTAATGGTTGTATGGATTATCGACTAATAAATTATTTCAATAGTTGGGATCATGAGTCAATTGAAGCTAGGCCACCATAGTAAACCTGGAAGCACTGGACCGTTTCGTCCTATTGTGGGACTCCTCAGTAGTGCGCACCTGCGATCCCGCTTTTCGAGATTCGAACCCAGGCGCGATCGTGGATACGCACTGCTAAGTCTCACAATAGGACGAAACGGTCGGCCAGTGCTTTCAGGCTTACCTTGGTGGTCTAGCTTCAATTAACTCATGATCTCAACTATTGAAATTACCACACTATCCACAAAGACCTCTTCTGATATTAATAGATTATTCTTTAAAATGTTTATATTCCTTTGAGTATTTTATAAAATTTTATTTATTAAAACAATGCAGTAGTGCAAACTGTCTCCGTGTGCATGGAATGCATGACTTTTTGTTATGGAACACTTCACTTTTCATTTATTTTCTACAGCACCCTCTACTCAGTGAAGTGAATCCATCATCATCAGGCTCGAGTGTTTTAAAACCCAGAGGTTAGTATGAACCAATTATAGTCTGTGAATTTTCAATTCTTCCTCTCGGTAGTTATTAGTTCATTTCCTGGTTAAACTAATTTGATTTAACCAGATTCATAATGTTAACAAACATTGTAGTGTACAAATATGTTATTGTTTACTGAATTGTAGCAGGACTAATAACAACGCAGTATGATTTGATTTATTTAGTTTAACCGACAGTAAATCTGTCTATTTTTCTGCTCTTTGAACAAAGATTATTGTCAGCATAGTTATGGATACATAAATAAAACAGTACAATATTTATTACATAGTTGTGAATGGTTTTTTTTTAAATCATACGAGTTGTAATCATAGTAACAAATTATTGCGTTGTTGTCAGTTGGGAACCTTTGTTCTCTGAAATAAAAACGGGACATTTTCCTAAAAGAGAAACTAAGGACGCTTTATACTGACATTTAGCTACCTTTAAAATTCCTAGTGTTACAGATGTCATGGATTTCATTGGATATATATATATATATATATATATATATATACCTCTGTTACTATTATGCTGTAAATTGAAACAATTAATTTGATTGGTTTTTAATTACCACTGAGTCATGAATGTGTCCGTTTAGTCGTTGTTCTTTTTGTGTCTTAATTTTAAGAGATGGCAACAAGAATCTATTGTTTTGTTTATTTACTCCTTTTTTCATATTTATTTGTCCTAATTTTCTTGTTGCTTTTCTTTCCTTTTTCCCTCTTTTATCCCAATAGATTCTTCAACATTGCGTCCGCATATGACAGTAAAAACACAAAAACCACGAACTAAACGCAATACAACAGTTAGACAACGTCTTGCTAAACGTTTAGGTATTTAATTCATTTTAGCAAAGCATGGATGTTATTTATTTACATATATATTTACAAATATATTATTTTTATTTATATTTACATATTGTCTATTTGTATGCTTATCAATTACAAGTTTACTAATATTATTCAATACTGTCAGTGGTAACTCTAATTTTATACTTTTTTCTACCTACATATATAAAGTGAATTATTTGGATCGTATAGATTTGTAAAATTTATTTCCTATCTACTAACGATATCTATATACATGTATACATATGCACACTGAAGTTAGCAATTCTTATCCGAATGTAGTATAATATGGTCGTGATCTAAGGAATTTTTCAAATAACTTCAGTTTTATTATTGTTATTACTAACTGTAGTAGCGGTATTACTATTAACAAGTGCAGCATACTTATCATGCATATAATGACCTTTTTTTAACCATATTTCAAATAGTTCTTCTGAGTTATTTTTTATTCTTATTTGTTCACTAATAATGCCATTCAATTTGTGTCCCATACTTTTATCTCCTTATTTTAGTTATATTTTAAATTTGAGGAATGTAAACTTTAATTGCATTTATGTATAATCATGCTGGTTATGAAATAGTTAAATAACTGACTGTTTCCCTCCAACTTCATCCATTTCTTCGTGTAATTTCATTAATCCCACCTCATCATTATTCACATATCCTCATTTTCTCTAGATCTTCAGGATCATTCATGGAATATGTTCTAAAAAGTATATATATATATATATATATTAGCGTCATTCGGCTACTCAGTAATAGTAAGAATCTGTTTTATTAGGTATATTCTCTTGTTTATCACGCTTGTTTTTTAGTGGTTTTCTTGGTTACTTGTTCACTGATATGTGTGTATTTTGTAATACTACGTTATTTATTCACTTTGTTATCGTTTGTTACTATTATTGGGTTTTTTTACTTTACGTACATGTTTTATAAATATTTGTTTATTTGCATACAAATGGAACTAATAATGTTTTCCCTGTTTTCATTCATTGTTTACCTAGCTCATTCTTTTTTAAATGTTTATTGGTCTTTGTTAAAAAAGTTTTTTTTATCATTAGGTCTTATGTAAATTGTTTTTGATTGAAATAAATATTGTTATAATAATATATTATATACATGACCGTCTTTCGTGTTTTCGGCGGTCGGTTGGGTAAAGTGACCTACCCATTATTAATGGCTAACACTAGTATTAAAACTTGGAACGTTATTATGGTAACACACATTACGTAATACACCTAGCAAAAAGGCTTGGTAACAAGAGGTTGTTTTGATTAGTATTCATGCAACGGTGTTTGTGCTGATTGGCTATTTTAGTGGGGATGTTAATAATTATATACCAGACTTAAATCCCAGAGAGAACACCTAGTTTGTTATGTTATGCAGTGTTGTTTCTTAAGTACTCATTAGTAGGGTTCTCCAGTTTGACATCCTTTGGATGAAGATATTTGTGTCCGTATTTCACCATTCTCAGTGACATCCAGGCTATCTGCTGGTGAAGAAGCCGTATTTCAAAATTTCAGCGTGAATTAGGCTCCCTCAGTAGACTTCAAGGGAATATAAACAATTTATAACTAGGTACAAATCTACGAATTCAAGTTGTCTCTTTTCAGATCTACCGATCGGGAGAAAAAGGTCAAATTGGAAAAATAATATTAACTGTATTGGCATTCATATCAATAGGATTCAAGATTGTAAGGTATTAAAGACTTAGAGAAAGATACGGAGTGATTTGGTACTCATCACTGTGACTTGTTTGCAACCATATCAACTTAAGTCCCTAGTTATTGATTATATTGACATATCTCAACTCAATAATGATTCCTATGAAAACCAATTTGAAGTCTAACCAGTATAATATATTAATAAATTATCTATGAGTTTCAGTTTATCCGTTATGGCAGAGGAATATGTGCGTTTGGTTGTCTGAATTAATATGAGGTAGTCGAACGATGCTTAATCACGGAAACAAAATTAAGTTCTATGTAGTCACCCAAATTGATGAATATCAGTAGGGAGGTTAGTTGGTTAAAAAAAGTTTTACCAGTCTATAAATCATCTCATTCCTAGAATAGAGTACGAAATAAATGAGAATTGAAATAATGCGTTTGATATGGAGAGCCAGTCAGAAGTAACTCAGTGTGAAGGTCAGTCGGTGGTAATCAGAAGTGACCCAAAGGACAAGTGCGTTTCATTGGCTAGGAGATGGGTAAATTTCCTCACTCAAATAGTCAGCTGGGGAGAGGGTTTAATGCGTAGCACACCATGTATCAGTATCAGATATTGGACACCGTCTATCACAACAGCATTGCCTATCGGGACACCGGCTTATTTGAAATTCACTGAACATTCAACGGATATAAGACTGAGAATTCTTGACGAAGGTGTTCATCGATTTCAGGATCCAAACACTGTTCACCAATGTGATTCAGTTGTCGCACGACGTTGCAGATTAATAGCAGTTGGTATAGTGCCACTGAAGACCGACCTAGTGTTTGTTATTAGTTAAGGGTTCATCGTGAGAACTAAATTTTTTGGGTTCGATCCTTGATGGGATTACGTAATACTCACTGCTGGAAAGTCTCGCATAAGGGCGAATAGGTTGTCCAGTGATACATGGATTTTAATGGTAATTCAAATGAGACTAATTTGCGGTTAACAGAACCTATAAGTTAAACCACTCTGTAACCCCTTTAACTAGCCTTTGAATGTGCTAGTTACTTGTTTCTTATGACATTGATGGACGAGAAAACTCAAACGTTCTTGATTCCTCTCCTAATTTCCAGGGTACTAAAAGAGAGAGATGTTTATTCGATGTAACCTACAAATTATGTGTTTGTTCATTTACAAATGGCTTAGTAGTATATCACTAGCAGTCGATAAATTTTCATGTATGGACTTACATAATGGTACCGCTTTGGCCTCATTCCAGCGGTTAGTGATTATTTGACGGTTCTAAATTTTGCTGACCATTCTGTTTTATTCTCCTCGAACTAAGGTTGGCATTCGAGATGAATCACTGATATAATGACATTTGTTTATCTGGTTTAATGCAAATGTAATGTATATTTCAGTGTCTTATATACTTCTGTTATGGCCTATCAATATATCACGTGACTAAATGGCCAATTAAAAACACCGGCTTATATGACCAGGCCAATGACGCATAAACTAGTACGCGCAGCTTAGAATCAACTCTGACATAGTAGCTTCTCGCCTAACCCAGTCGGTTCAGTCCAGAACACCAATACCACCCTTTGCTATATGAATCATGTATTTCAGACACACTTGGTTTATGTTTACATACAAACAAACCAGACTGCATCATACCGTAAAATAGAAAATAATAATTATACAAGATCAGGCCAAAAGTGGCTGTGAGTGTGAGATATTGTAATTAGTAAATTGGGAATAACGTAAAATTAGTAAATCGTGTATTGGTGTGGTGTGTTACTGATATCGATAGATATAAGTAGTATGTATTATCAGTAGAAAGTAATATGTCTGGCGGCAGAACGTTAAGAAGATCAAAGAAAACAGAACGAGAACAAAGAATGATTAGTGTGGAAACGAAAGAACAATGAAGTGTGAGACGATTGATTGATATTTTGCAAATTAAGTATTTACTATATGGTTCTCAGATTTTACTAAGATGTTCTGTAATTTTGTGTTCAAATACATTCGATTGTTCTCATTCGTGTTCTCGTTCACTACAATAGTAGTCAATAGGTCAAATGGAAGCTTATAGTAAAAGGAATATTAGTATACATATAATATAGTTACCTAATAGTTATCCAATAAGAATATATGTAATAATAGTCCATAAATAATTTCTGGCAGTTACCACTCCTTTATACTTCGTTAGGATTTAAGAATTTCGCTTATATCTAAAAGGTGGACTTCCTCTTTTCGTTAAGAATCTCTAGAAATCAACAAAAATTTAAAATCCCGTTGCATTTTTCGTAAAGATTCCGAGGGATCGAGTAGACTTACTTTATTGCATTAACAACTATACTAATTGTAGAAATCTTACATTGTGTCGAATATAGCGACCACTCTTGATAAGGTACACTACTATTTTATGTACCTAATTTTAATTGAAAATGAAGTCAAACAGAACATACCATTAACAAAATAGTTACCTTTGATAAGTTTTCCTTATTACTGTGAAACTGACCAGTAATTTACTGTAATTAGTTAGTGTTCATCATTAACGGTAAATCATTCATGTCCCCAGCAAGTATAAAAGCCGATTGATTGTGGAAAACTACTTTATTAGCGGATGTAGCTTTAATAAAATAGTCTTCTTTCTCACTGGTTAACAGTAAAATAGGTGGTTTCACCTTTTTTGCCAAAATAATTTCGTGCTGTCTAGGACTCTTACCACTTGCATTATTTATATAATTCATAACATACCATACTAACTTGTACACATTTATATAGAGATATTTTTTCTTAACGTGTTTTTTATAGAAAATCTGTGGATAAGTAATATCAAGATCAGACAAAAAGTCGATAAAAGAAACAGCAAATTGTATTTTATTATTTTATTAAACATATTGACAATATATATTACCTAGTACTCGTAACTGTATAGATACATTAATTTGTTTTTGAAATGATGATAATATAATTACGAATAAGATCTCGAACTCGCCTTTCATTTTCATCTAAGAACTATCAGTTTAGTTTTTCTGCATTCCATCATGTTAGTGTTTTTCACTGCTATTTAAACTTTGTTAGTATAGTGGTTTATGACGTGAATTTGTTTATGATTTAAAGACTGAATAAATTAGTATCTAATGAAATGTATATTCTTACTTCTGCATATAGTTTTATTCCTGTTGATCAGTTCAATCATGAAAATATAAGCAAGGTGAAACTACAGAATTCATAAAGTACTATCAGGTTTTCATTCTTTTTAGCTACCTTTATACATATTATAACCTTTAACATAATTATAACGTTCAAACATTAGTTTAACGACTCGTTTTGTGATTTTATTCTTTAATCTGACTTATTTCATAAGGTCAACCAACTTGACATAATTACAACAAAAACATCATATTTCATTGGTTGAGATCGTGAGTCAATTGAAGCTAGACCACCACGGAACATCATGTGTCAAAAAATGTTTGTCTGATAATTTATGAATTATTTTCAGACGTTTATTATCGTGTGAATATTCTCTAGTCACCTATAAATCATTATTCATATTAGTTACATTCATACCATGGTTTTATTTAATTTTTTTTTAAAACAAAAAGTATGATTAATATTTGAACGAAGAATATTCTATTCAATAGATTTTCTTTAGGTTCTGCATTATTTCTCTAATCCTATCTGACCCATGTTTATTCGGATCATGAATCTTAAACTTTCACTTAACATATATGCTGATTCAAGTTAACATTCTATATAAGTCATATCAACATGAACAATTTTATTCTATTTTATTTGACAATCCTAAATTTAAATGCTTTAACTTTAAACGATGGATGCACTTTGCCCTAAACATGACCATTTTTAGATCATTAATTTGGATATATGAATTGTAGAACCTGAAAAAAATTTGTCGAAAAGAATATTCTTTCAAAAATTAGACTTTTAATATGATGAGGATCATGAAACAATTAAAAGTATGATTATTTTGTCGGAACAAATGTAAATTAACTAATAAATAGTATAATTGAATCACTGGAATTTTCATTATTTAAACACAGATATATTATAGATAAGATAAATCTGTCAGTAGATGTATTTGCTCGCAATATATATATATATATATATATATATATATATATATATATATATATATATATATATATATATATATATATATAGGTCTATCTTTTTTAACATACTTTTAGGTGTAAATCTTCATTTACAAATAATCGATATCTTGTTGTAATCAAATATGAATAAAAAGTGATCGTTTAATTTGCATTACATATGAATAACTATGCAGTATTTATTTGTCACATATTTTGCAATCACTAATTTTCATTCGTAAAAATGTTAAATTGAAATTTGAAAAGAAAAAGGAAGAAAACTATTTTACCGATTCTAGTATCAGATTTTATTGTAAACGAAAATAAGTTTATAGAAAAATTTCAGAAACTTACAATGGTCAAGTTTGATAAGACTTAAACTAAATAAGATTCTACTAATTTGTAATTAATTCAGAATATATAAAAATGGATGCGCACTGCTGAGGAGTCCCGTACTAGGTCGAAACGGCCATCCAGTGCTTCTAGGTTTTCCATGGTGGTCTAGTTTCAATTGACTCATGATTTCAATCTGTGAGATATAAAAATGAATTTAATTCCCAATTGTAAATGGTTTGTCGTAATGAATGAATTTTTAATAAAAATTAAACTTTAAACAATTTATCAACATCTAATTAATGTACTTAGTTAGCCTAAGATATATGTCTTACTGAAAATAGATCCTAAATTAAGCTACTGGTTCATTTGTCAGAAATATGTATTTTGATATTGCGAAAGTTCATATACTGAATTATAATACTGTAAATAATTATATTTAACGTTTTAATACATAGAGATTCATGAGAAAATTGTTTATCTTCTAGAATAATTTCCATGACAATAAGCATCATTATGGTAGTTTAATTTAAAATTATTTATTATACCTGTAGACTCTGTAATTATTTTTTACCTACTGTCAGAGATGAGTGTTTTAATTTTTTGTTACATTCAAAACCAGTGATTAACAAATTCTAAGATTTTTTTTTGTTCCGATTATGATATTTTGGTTAAAGTCATACATAAAGAATCGAGATTTGGAAATAAAAATTTTTGTTTGTTTTTTCTGATTTAAAACCTTACCACTTTTCTAGATCAAATGATGATAGAATGCCTTGTAATTTTTGTCGGTTTCCCCCTAATTTGATGGATAAGTGAGAAATCTTGATCTATACTAGTAAGTATTTCGATTCATACTATTTCATTTATTTGCGTGTAAATTAAATAAGTCCATCAAGAGAAATATTATAATAGTATGAAATGTATTTCATATGATCTTACAAATTTATCGCATATTATTACATTTAGTTACATTATTTCCTCATCTATACTATTGTATTTTTATATAGCTAAACACCTTTAATAGAGTAATTCCATTTCATGCATGTGTTAAGGCTTCAAATAATGTATGATTATGTGATAATAAATTTGTGTGATAAAAATTATCTACATGCACTTTAGTTCCCATAACATTAGTATCATCAACTTCAAAATGAAAAGCAGAATGACCTTTAGATCTATGAACAAATCATATATATATATATATATATATATATATATATATATATATATATATATATATATATATATATTTGCCATTAGATTGTGTGCTTTATAATTACAAAACAGAAAGTAACCAAAAATCATTGATCAATTTCATAAAATCAAGTTCTGACTCATGATCGAAATTTTTTAGATACATTGATGAACATTTTTGTGGTAATTTGATATTTTGCACCTCTGAATTATTTCACTGACCTAAATGATAATAACCGTATTGCAGTTTGTGAGCCTCAACCAATGGGAAGAGAGATTTTACCTAGTTGACCAATCCAAAGTACGGGTATTAAAGCACCTTCAAATGTTAGCACAAAACGTAATCGAATCCTCATTAGGAAAGTTAATTTGTGGTTATTACATAAGTTTCAGGTTATCTGATTCATTATAAAGCCAAATGAACCAACCTTACAAAATAATCTTGAGCTGAAAGTTACTTCTCAGTCTCAAATGACATTAAATACGACATCACTCTATATCAATGTAAATGAAGACACAACAGATATGCCAATGAACTTTAATTTAAATCAGACTGAGTGTATTTGTCAAGTACTCTATAATAACCAGGAAACTGATCGGTTGAAGACATTTTTGTCGAAAATATCAACGACTACAATGTATCATAACAATGAAGTCATTGTGAAATGCAGAGCACTAGTTTTATTTGTCAATAAAGAATTTACCGAATTATTCAAAATTTTAAATAATTTTCCATTTAGTGTTTATAATCATAATGAAATGCAAAATTTATGGTATCAAGCTCAATATGCACAAATAGAGATATCACGTGGTCATCAGTTGAACGCTGTAGCCAAATATCGTATACGTAAGAAATTCCCACCACCGAACACAATATGGGATGGAGATGAGGTGACGTATTATTTTAAAGATAAATCAAGAAATTATTTAGCTGAACAGTTTGCGCACAATCCATATCCGTCTATTGTGGAAAAACATTTCATGGCTAAGAACAGTGGTCTTACTATAACACAAGTATCAAATTGGTTTAAGAATAGAAGACAACGTGATAAAACTCTTAATAACTTTAAAAGTAGATGGTAAGTACAGTTTTTTTTCTTTAAACTCCAGCTTAAGGGACATAATTTGTTCTTATTACCCCATGATAATGTTACTAAGAGGAAAATTGGGCTTTATGGTAGGCGTATTATCCCAGTTTTTGTCTCCCCAAAGAAGTTATCGCATTCATCTATATTAAACCTGATTCCATAGTATCAGGGCTCACTTAATTGATGAGGAGATCAATTACAGAATACTGTTTAATATTTGTGGACTCCAGTAGGCTTGTGATATTTTGATTATCCTTTAGAGACAGTAACTATCGGTCTTCAGTCGTCAGTTAGTTAACTCCATATGCCAATCGAATAACAACCCATCAGTCCTAGTCCTTCTGATTTAAGAGTGATGCGATTTGTAAAATTGTGGGGACTGTATTTTAAAGGTTGGAGTTAAATGTGCCTAGTATAGATGATTTTCAAATGAATACAAAACACCATCAGTGACTTTAGGTTCCGAAGGCTAAGTGAATCTCCAACTCAAGCAACAGTCTTGGAGAGAAGAAAGATTTATATTAAAGTGCCTATAAACAATATTGCCTGCAGGGTAAATCCATTATTTTTAACATTAATGATGTGCTCAGTTTTTGGTAGTTTAAACTGAAATTCCTAAGTAAATTTAATACGTCATAGTAATGATGTACATAATTTCATCTTAGATTAACCGATACAACCGCTGCATTAGTGTATTATTGATATTAAACTGGAAAAAATTCTTTAGAGTTTTTACTGAAGCTAGATGGTGTTCTATTGCATTTACAAAATTCACTTCGGTTACATTTATCATCTGCTTATTTTAGTTAAATATTGGAAATGTTAGGCTACCACTGTTAACTTATCTGTACAAGTTAAATTGTGATAAATAAATAAATCACTTTACAGATCTGAAAACTTCATCAGTTAAATGGAGAGTAGAACTAAAATTATCATTTAAAACACAAATTCGTTTGAACTACTACCTTTTTTCTGCTGATATATTATGACAAGCATAATATGACTGAGAATAATCTTATCGTTGATTTAAAGCTGAAAAATTTTTCTCAGTGTATATAGACTTAACTATTCACAAATGACAAAACAATGAAAGTTTTGTACTCACTCATGGAATGATCTGAAGGTACTCTAAGTTGACTTAAGTATGTGAGTGATACAATCTGACCATAAATTGTTAAGAAATTTGAAAACAACATAGCAAATAATCTTCAGCATCCCGACGTAAATGTCATTCTTCGGCATCAAATTGTTCTTTTAAATCACTGTTGAACAGTTTCACAACTTATTTGGTTTTCAAGTAATACTTTGCAACCGTAAACTCCATTGTAGATGATAAGTCTCATTTATTTTTAGTAATTATATAACTCATTAATCAAGTACAAGTTAGTGTACTTGGCTTTGAATCACACCATATGATAGCTAAGGACACTAATTGATTACCTAAAGTAGTCGGGAAATAGATATTCAAATCTTCAGTTCAGTGATTGAAAATTAAGCGTTTTAACTACTAGACCACTTATACACTATATATATATATATATATATATATATATATATATATATATATATATATATATATAAACAATGAGATCAAAAATAGTTTTCAGTCTAAACAGGGCTTAAGGATTTAAATTATTTATAATAGTTGATGAATAAATAAATACGGTACTTAAATTGAAGTATCAGACTGTTTTACACACAGTGAACAAACTGTCATTTTCAAGGTTGTTGTTGTTGTTGTTTAATTTTTAGTGTTTACATTTTCATTTGTGATTGTCAATATAATCAAACATTTATTCATAATTGAAAGAATAATAATGATTTCATGATATTTATCATTTTACAAGAAATCTGATTATTTTGACTGTAAAAGAAGCATTTTATTTTTCGTGGTGAAACACACCTATAATTCTTATTTAGAATTTCTAGTTACACTGAAATTGTCGATGAGAAAACACTTCTAAAAAATTATCTAAACAGAATTAGGATTCAGTTTTATTCCCGGAACATTGGTACTTTTTACAGATTGGATATTTATCATCAAACGGATTTAAGGGCAAAATATATGTTAGTCTTATAATGTCAAATGCCCAACATAAGGTCATACAAAATTAGATCTTTCTGGCTTGACCAATCGACGTAAGTGGTATCCAACCGTTTAAGAAGCTTGACTTAGTTCTCTAGGACCGATCTAAATATACTATAGTGTCGGTCACCATGTTAAGCCCATATAACTTATTCTAGCTTGTGAATAAGTCAAGTTATCCATTCTTCTTGAGTCACGTTTTGACTTTGTCAATTGTTCACTTATCAACCCTGACTGATTTTATGTAAGCGTATGTGTATGCACTTATCCTATTCATCACATGTCTGTAGCCTACTTTTATCTGGCTATAAATACTGATTAACTCTTGATTAAATCGAGTTGGCTTACACGCTTTTTCCACTGAACGTCCTTTCGTCTCGCTCCGCTTTCTCTTCTTCGCTTTATTCGCTGCGATTCTCTGATTGTCTGTTCCGTGTTTAAACATCCATTCTTTTATTTGACTCATTTAATTTTGCTATTCACCAACGCGAGTTAAGTCGATAATTTTATACGAGGATTGGCGATATGTATATTTTGACAACAGTCATTTATACAATCCAATTGGGATCAGATTCCGGACCATTAAAATACAAGTTTGCCTGAAATGGTTAATGTGCGTAGGCAGTCAGAGCAAGTTTACTCTTGGATATTTATGTCCAATTCTGGCATATGTAATCGACTTATTAATTTATTAATAATTGAAATAACTGTTTACCAGAGAATTTACTGTTTAGTAATTTTCTAGATAGAGGTTTAATTTCTTCTAAATAATTGTCACCCATTTCTTTTAAGAAACTATCCTAAAATAACATGAGAGGGCATTTTCAATTTTTCTATTGCAATTTTTCATTAGCTATACATTACAGTTTGTAAATCGAAGAAGTGACTAAGTTTTTGAAGTATTTTTCTAACGAATAATTTGAGTGTGACTTTACAATGTAATTTGAAGCGAATAAAATACGATCGATGATCATTGTTAACTAATTAATTTGGCGCAATCTGTTCCTATAAAATTTGAATATGGTCTTCAGAAGAAAAAAATTTCATATTATGATCTGTAAGCCGATAGACAGATAATTTTATACCTCATAGTTGTGTATTTAAAAATTAGTACTTGAATCTGAATTGGGTTAGTGACTTAAATTCACCCTCCTTTTATTTATTACATTATGGGACTCATACTGGAAAATGCTCTAAGAATTATATCAGATGTTGTTTATGTACATTGGAATCTTTTAATTATGTGTTTAGGGAATATCAGAGTATGACTTATTTGATAGCTAAAATGAAAACAATTCCAGTCCCTGTCACCAAAATTCTAAGGGAATCAGTGATATATATATATAATATATATATATATAACTTTCGTTTACTTTCTTCATAGAAGTAAGAGTAACCTCTTTAGCAGAAAGAATCCTATCTAATCGTATTTTTCTTAACTGAATTGCTTCTTTCATTATTATTATTATTATTATTATTATTATTTTATTAGTATCACTTCCCCGACCGTAGCTGCTACCTTGACGTGGTGGTCGGGCTTGCCTATCGGGATGACCCGACCGAGCTATATTAGCTGGAACATATGTTCCTGTAGGTTCTACCGTGCCAGACATCTTTTGACATGGCGACCCCTTAATTCGTCCCAACGTTGGACCCAAATAGATCACATCGCTATCAGCCACCGATGGAGGGGCCCGATAGAAGACTGTCGCTCATTCTGGAGCACATGCTTAGACTCAGATCGTGATCTAGTACGAGCGCGTATTTGCCTGCGTCTTACTGGACGTAGGAAAGACGCTGCAGGTAAACCTCTAAGGGCCCTACTTAATGATAGTCAAACTAAGAGTATATTTCAGGAACAACTAGGAAAACAGTTAGATGGCCATGTATGTGATGTCCACCCCGAGGCAGCATGGAATGATATCCGAAAAGCTGTGGAAACAGCAATGATATCTGCTAGTACGGTAAACTACAAGATTAGGGATCAACACTGGATCTCAGCAGCATCTATCGCACTGATAGATGCTCGAAAACTCATTCCATCTGGCTCTGAACATAACGAAGAGCGGATTCAGCTTAAACGCAAGCTGACAAGAAGACTACGCAATGATCGTGAACAGTGGTGGGTAGCGAAAGCAAGAGAGATGGAAAAGGCAGCGGCAATAGGTAGTAGCAGACAATTGTTCAGACTTGTTAAGGAAACCGGAATTAGGAACCTGACTGTTAGCGAAACAATCTCAGAGAAAGATGGACATGTTATACATTCTCAATCCAGGAGATTGGATCGATGGGCAGAACACATTAGGGATCAGTTCAACTGGCCTTCAGCCACACTTCGGTTTCCCACAATCTCCAGTCAACCTGAATGGCAAGTTAATGTAGGCCTTCCGACTCTTTACGAAGTTGAAAAAGCTATCGGGAATCTGATACGAGGGAGAGGAGCAGGCCCTGACAGGTTTACTCCTGAGATTTTTAAGGATGGTGGTTCAGTATTAGCAATGAGATTAACCGAGGTCTTAGGTAGAATTTGGGAACTGGACGTAATCCCATCTGACTGGTCTCAATCACTGATTGTGCCAGTTTTTAAGAAAGGACAAAAGTCCTCTTGTGACAATCACAAAGGAATCAGTTTGACTAATATAGTATCTAAAATATTAGCTTCAATAATACTTCGACGCCTAACCAAAGCTCGTGAAGAACAGACTAGAGAAAATCAGGCTGGTTTTCGACCTGGACGTGGTTGTATAGACCAAATGTTCACACTACGTCAGGTTCTAGAACACAGACACACATTCAGACGCCCCACAATGGTAGTATTTCTCGACCTTAAGGCGGCATTCGTCTCTGTTGATCGTTAGGTTCTGTGGAAGTGTTTGTCACTGAAAGGAGTACCAAAGAAGTACATTACCCTTGTAAATGCTCTTTACTCGAACACAACTGGTAGAGTGAGAGCTTATGGCGAACTGTCATCAGAATTGATTACGTCAAGTGGTGTTCGTTAGGGCTGTCCACTCTCTCCGTTCTTGCTTAACTTCGTCGTTGCTGTGCTTTTAGATATAACACTTTGCTCATCTGACTTTCCAGGGGTTGAACTTCTACCAGGAGATTCACTTGTTAACTTGGAATATGCCGATGACATAGTTCTTTTTGGTGATGACGCTGACAAAATACAATCTTCTGACCACTCTAAGGAACAAAGCAGGCATGTTCGGCATACGATTCTCCCCCTCGAAATGCAAAATGTTGCTTCAGGATTGGGTTGCATTGACACCCGAACCAATGATAGGGAGTGAAGTAGTTTAGCGTGTCGACCGATTCACTTATCTTGAAAGTCTCATCAGCCCTTGTAGTCTGGTGTGTGACGAAATCTCAGCACGGATACAGAGGGCTCAACTAGCTTGCGTCATTTATGGCGTAGGTGAGATATCCGTCTACCAACCAAAGGATGGACTTACTGCACAGCAGTTCGTTCCGTTCTACTTTATGGCTGCGAAATATGGCCGATAAGAGTAGAGGATATTCGTAGGTTACTAGTATTCGTTCACAGATGTCTTCGAAGCATTGATCGTATATCCTGGGACCACCGAGTAAGTAATTCAGTTGTTAGGAAACAGGTACTAGGTAATGATGGCAAATCAATTGATGAGGCAGTGAAACTTCATCAGTTGGGATGGCTGGGACACGTGTTACGTATGCCTAACCATCGACTACCCCGACGTGCCATGTTTCATGGTGTAGAAGTGGGATGGAAGAAAACTAGAGGCGGCCAAACCGAAACATGGCACAAATCCATGAAGTTGCTGACAAGTGAACTGAGCCATGTTTGTAGGTGTAGACTACCTGGTTGGGATCCACGAGACAATAGCAACCGATAGTTAGAGACCTTGAATGACATGGCTCAAAATCGTTTGCAATGGTGCAGGTGCATCCACTCTTTGTGTTCTCCCAAATTCTAATTTTTTGAATTCTTTATGTCCTTTTTTTCCTCTTCACAAATTTATTTCACTGGACTATACTCTTTGAATGACATCTTCAAACCCTAATCTTTCCGGTTACTGCTTATACTCTTACTACCTCTACCACTACGCGATTTGAATCGATAACTGCATCTCCGTGCTAATGTGGTATGGCAACTCGATCCGATGTACGTACGTACGAAGTTCTACGTTGTTACTGACTGGCTGAATATCACTTCACTCTCACACACTAATTCCTATTCATTTTTGTCCTTTTTATTATACTCATCTTCCTTTCTTTATCTCTTTATAACCTCATTTCTATTATGTGGTATGTATGTATTTGGTTCCAACTTGTGCCAATGTTTATATGTTCAAATAATAAATTCAGGAAATATAAAATTTTTTTATGATATTCCGATTAGATGGCAAGTATTTTTAAAACAGTGAGTGACCATGGAATAAGGATGCGTTTATTAGTAATAAAGCTCATTTTAAAAAATTTCAATGTACTACCATGTTGAGTCAGTCAGTCATTTAAACGATTTGCTATACTATGACTGTTGTTCTTGGATTATAATATATACAGCTATGATCTTACTTGAGGGTCACTCAATCATGACCATCAACTGAATTCTGTCCAAATATTGTGACTAATTAAGCTGGTACTCTGTCATAAAACAACATGGTTAGTAAAACATTATTTTTATCTTGGCGAAATCTCTATGCACACGAGAGACTAATTCATATCAGAAACAGCTGAACATTCATTTCGTACAGATATAACATATAATAAACCGTATGTCCACATTTGAACATACATTATTTTTTGTCTACTTGGTATATTGAAAATACAGCTCTAACAGTCCATAAATTCATAATAACTTGGGATATTTACGTATTCAAAGACATTTATTTTTGAAGTTAAAACTTTTATCATTAAAATATGGAGATTATAGTTGACTTTTTTATCACAAAACTCTTGAATCTGATATCTACCCGTACATAAATTTAGATAACCTTATCGTAAATCCGGCAAGAAATGACCAAATATGTATTATATAATTTGTAAATAGACTCACTTCTTATACAATTTGCGATATTTTCCATAAATTTTACTTCTGAATTTCTATATTGTCATGGTTAATCATTATGTCTTACTTTTATCAGTTTTACCTGTTCTGAAAGTCTGTACCACAAAATATTTGCCACTATATTTAAAACTCTCATATTCTCATCACTAACATATTTTTTGCATGAATTTAGGTCATTATTTTAGTTTCATGCGATTATTGTTGACTTTAAGCACATCATATTCTCCTTATATTTTCTATTACTGGATTTACACCGGCTTGAATTTATTTCAATACTTATTAAAAACGGAATTCTCGGTATTATTGCCTTGTCAGTTGATTAAACAAATAGTTTGATATTCATCACGAAATGATTTTGTTATTTATGAATTTTTACAGGCCAACATTATTTCAGTAATTGGCCAGATCCTGAAATTTATAATTTAATAAAAAGTTTAATACTTTACGAACTCTTACTTTTATACATATATTAACTGGTATTTTTCACATTATTTGTTTAAGTATAACCCAGAATGGATTGAGTTACCTTCAACCAACTGATTTCGAGGTGTCGACAGAGTTCCATGAACACTTTGAACAAAATACTGATACCCCACTGTATGATGCAAAATTTCTTGAGACAGCTTGTTCCGATTCCAGTAAATCGTATTTTGATTATGAAAGGGAACCTCAAGATCGTGATTTCAGCTTCTATTGCCATCAATCTGGAAATTATTCTTCTTCATTTTCTCACCTAAACTCTTCAGATGAAGATTTTTCTGTTACAAGTACAAGATACAACTAGTTTGACTCAGATTTATCTAAATAAAAAAGTTACACAAAAATTTTAATCGATGATCCCAGTATACGGGGAATTTCCATACAATGAAACTTGTTTACAATCAGAAAATGTAATAACAATTAATTGTTCATAAAAAGTGGCTTCTCTTTTCATATTGGCATTTGGTATTATAGAGGGTTATGGAAATGACTAAATTTGCAATTCTGAGTATCAGACGGACATTATTTAGTCATCTGCTGAAAAATGAGAAGTACTAGACAAAAAAGCAACTGTTCAGTGTCATCTGGTTTTTAGTGGTCATCTGACTCAAGTTAATTCGTAATGTCAAACTGTAAATTCAGCGATTGAATTTAACTACTAGTAAATAGCAAGTAGACCATTCATTTGGAACAAAAATATCTCTTCAGAGAAACTACTTGTGCATAAAGTTACGAGAAAAATGATAAGCCCTATCGCATAACAACTCAAGCGGTCGAAATATCTAACTTGGTGTATTAAGAATTTTATTACATACAGCTTAAATACACACTTTCTTGATTCAATCGTATGATGTTGCTGTCACTTGAATATCCAGTTGTGATTCGGAAATGTTTTATCTGTGAAGTAATCAATAAGGAGAATTAGCTCATAGGACAAATTTCACATTGTTTTCAGTGCTTCACTAAACATTATTCAAATTTTAGATGTGAAGGATCACACACATTTGTTCATTCTTGGTCATAAAAATAAAAAAGATTAAGAAAGTTTATTGAGATGAAATAGCTTCAAACACGTCTACAAAATATTCAGAGGATATAAAAGAAATCTTCAGTACATCGAGGTTTGGTATCGAAATGAAACAGATATGAGGGTTCCTGTCTCACACGGCCTATTTTTCCTATTCCCATACTGTGCGTTATTAACCGTAATTTTATTAGTAACTAGAGGTACAGGAAAAGGTATTTTTGACAGGATCACAGTAATTCATTTGGTCTACCAAATGTTTTTGTATAACAAATATGCTTGTAATCAGAATGAGATTTGTGGAGATGTTAACAGGAGCCCTGAAGACTCCAATGGAACTTATCTTTCATATTTCCTTAAATCTGGCAGTCGGTTTCCCAAACAACAGAAACATATTTTAATAGTTGAATCCATGGGTCGATGTAAGCTAGACCACCATTGAAAACCCGGAAGCACTGGACGACCGTTTCGTTCTAGTATAGGACTCCTCAGCAGTGCTCATCCACGACCTCGTATGCGAGAAGCCGTGACCACTGGAGTCTAATCCTTGTCGGCTAGAGACAGGTATCTACCTCAGACAATGGATGAATGGTTGCGCCAACATTCAGTGATCGAGTGAAAACAGATATTAATGTCATTAGGTACCGGCTCAGTGGTCTAGAGTCTAAGTGTTCGCGCGCGAAACCTAAGGTCCAGGGTTTGGGTCCCTCATGCGGAGTTATGGGTTCGCACTGCTAAGGAGTCCATACTAGAACGAAACGGCCATCCAGTGCTCATAGGTTTTCAATAGGGATCCAGCTTACATCGACTTATGAATCCAACTATTAAAATATATTTCTGTTGATTGGGAAACCGACTGTCATATTTAAGGAAATATGAAAGATAAGTTCCATTGGAGTCTTCAGGGCTCCTGCTAACATTTCAATGCTCTTATTCATGGATTACACTAAACAACTGTGAGCACAAAATTTAGAAAAAGAGATAGTGTTAGACGAAGGAAAATTCATTCAACAAGTAAAATCAATGAGTAGTAACAGTAATCTAGATCTCGAATGTGTGACAGTATTTCTGATTGATGTCTAGCTATTATTCAAATGCAACTTGAAGGCAACATCAGGATTAACCCCTCAACCATGGACGTACTTAATAATAATAATAATAATAATAATAATAATACAAACTTGTGAAGGAAAAATATTGTGAATTTTTTAATCTTTACGGACATTCGTTAATAATTTTACTTGGACTATACATTCTAAGAATTCAATCACTCTAGTCATAAAATGATTAAAATTCTAGGATCTTGGTAATTAACTGTCTGACTTCACTCATGTGGAAATTAACTCACGATAATTGCTCAGGCTTTGGTTTTGACTGAAGATGCAACAGTCACGTCCTCAATTTATAACTGAATATGGGATATCATATTTATTGCATTCTATCTCACTTCCATGAATATGGTGTTTAATTTGGTAGGTTCAGAGATATCATGGTTCCTCATGCTACGTATGAAAGTGGGTCACAGTGTGAACACCAACATTGTTAGGTAGGCATATCCAACTAACGAGTTCGAAATAGAACGGGACGAGAGTTCTGGATTCTAGTGTTAAATATACAAAACGGGAAGAATGATTGGAAACTATCAGATTCATATAATGCTGCATCAAAATGATGTAAGCATTGGACGGATTTAATATATGTATTATAATTTATCAATTCAAAAGTTTACTGAATTCTGTCTACCTATCGTAAAGATTTTGACAAAATTTTATTTTATCATGACCTTATACAATTCTGCAAACGCTTTATACTACTTTTTGTTAGTAAGTAGAAAACGCATCTCACAATAAATTTTCATCGCATCATTTCAGTCAATGAGTAACTTCATGAATAGGTAGAGATGGGATAAATATAGTTATGGTACACGTATAATATAACTCTATAATAAGCAGGACACGAGTAAACACCCTTGATCCTGAATACTTTTAGCCTGATGTTTATATTTCTGTGTAATATTAGATAATAAAAATCCTTTGAAAGTTAAGAATTTTAGGATCACTAGATATTTCTGAATTACATCGAATACTGAATAAATTTTGCGACATATAAGGACCTTGAGTAATCTAGGTGGATCACGGAGTTTATGTAGTAGGAGATTTCAGCTAACTTACATGCAATACACCGAAGTTCATCCGATTCTCCATATAAAGATTATGGTTTCCAAAATGTTACAGAATCTATTCATTTCTGTTTATTACTATTTAAATGATATTCTCATAAAAGTGAACTATCAATCGTTATTTAAATTTCATCGAAATACTGATACTCAAAACATTTCGATATTGCCAGGTACACGATATGTAATTTTTGGTAGATATATATATTAAAGGTTACATTACTTATTTTCAAGAAAAATTCGTTGTTTTGACTAGACTCTACGATACTAAACGTAATTTAGAGAAAAATCCAATCTATTATCGTGAATCTGAATATATCAGTGTATTGAGAAGGTAACACTAGTCTGTGTTGTGAAAACAAACATATGCATTCCATAATAGTTCGTACATGCTTACGAATACGCAAATATACAGTCATTAGTGCATAGACTCATTTATTTTCCAAGTTATGTCTATCTGAACAAGAGAAAAGAAAACAAGAGTATGTTCTTGTTTTTCGAATGTTCAAATCGGAAATCCGGACAATTCGTTTTAACTATTGGACATTATCACATATATAACGAGTGAGAAAAACACATCATTAAAATAACATAACACACACTTATCTCTTACTCTAGTCGACACGCAACACAACAAGCATAAAGTAGAAATTCCGCTACTCATTTTACAAGTAGTTATAATAATAATAATAAGAGTAATAATAATGATAATAGTCGATAAATATTTAGTTAAGGTCAGGATAACTTTTCAGTACATCACTTTACTAACTCATCATTTGATTGTATAGAAAATTTAAGTGAGAAATTCGAATACTCTTAATTATCATTTGTTTTTTATCGTTTGTTTTTTATTTGTTTGTTTATTTTAACTCCATTCTTAATATAATCAAAATTTTCCGGTACAGTAAATGCCAATTAACCTTAAAGTGGACTACATTAAAATTATTTTATGTTAGTTCTTGAATCTTTTATTTTCTGTTCACTTAGAAAATATAAAGGGAATGGCAGTATATTGTTGAACGACACATTCTTTTTGAGTTTATTTCTTTTTCACACATATACACAACCAAACACATTTACTCGTTTATGTTTGTCGAGATATGCTGATATACGTTAGTGATATTTTTGTGGGATGTATATATTAGTTCTATCCATTATGGTTTGTTATAACATTACTAAACAAGTGAAACTATTTGCAATAAATGTAACTGAAAAAAACAAACACTAATCCATTATTTTTATAAATTTCCAACTTAAATGAACTAGGCTGAAAGTAGATATTATTCAAGTGTAGAACTTACATAGCTAAATACTAGATGAGTACTAGATGAATAACACGTCTAGAGAAATTGAATAACTTGACTCCAATTACTATAAATAATTGTGTTTCTTTTCTAACATTTTTCGATTCTTACATTTTTGCTTTGAATTTTGCTTTGAACATGTTATTCAGTTTTTATAATGAAAAAGAAATGTCCATATTTTTACATCTGTAAACCTAAAGAATTACGATCGAAACAGATGCCCTTAAGACCTAACCAATGAAAAGTTTACTTTGATTTGGATGGATATTGCAAATAATCAGATTACAGAACAAAATTCAGTTAACTAAGTAAATAGTTTTACAGCAGAATTACTCATTCAATTTTTTTTCATAAATTCTACGTTGAATGCACTTTTAAATTATTTCATATGGTTCAGTGGGACAAAAAAACGCTTAGAAGTATCTGAATCGAGGAAATATGCAGTGGTGTAGTTTTGTGATTTACCAAACAAAGGTTTTGTAGTAATAGCCTATGATAAAAACTATTTTTAATCTTCAATAAAGTTGCAAGTATTTAAACTCTAAACTATGGATTTTCTGGCACTGTTGCTATCAGAACATTAAGTTTGTTGGGGAGACCCAGAGATTTTCTTGAAAGAAACCCAAAGAGGAAACACTTCGTCCAATCAGCACTCAACAGAAGTCTCTCAGAAACAACTAGAAAGTGACGAGTCACGTATCACATTTCGATTGGATGATTACCTATCCTACTACTCTGTTTAGTAGGGTTCCGGAAATTTCCACAAGCCCAAGACCCTCTGAAATGCTATGAATACCCTCAATTTTCTGTACATAATCTAACCTTGGGGTAAAGCGTTCTTTCCATAATTTGCGTCTCCTCTCGTGTTCAAGTTGTCGTGTAGATTTAGC